CGGGGCCGGTGCCCCGGGATCGGTGCCCCGGGGTCTCCCTTTCTGCGCAAACCCGACGCGACTTGCGCCGTAGAAGTTTTCCTGTAACTTCACAGCGCGCGGGCGCGTTCCGTGGGAGGTTTTCTTTCAGTTAAATTTCTTAAAGAGATTGAACTTCAAAATACAATGGCTACACAGCATTGGTCTGATGTGTGTTTAATTGTAGCGAATCGTTTGGGTTTGGGAGAGCGTTTTAAAGCACAGCTTTTCTGCCTTTGGGCAAGGAGGTAGCAACGGCTCGTCCATAGCAGCAAACAGGGATCCGTTCCCCTTGATCCCTGCCGTAGGACAATATGTACGGCTTTCTCCATTCCCGAATGATAATACATGACTGGAGTGAGGGGGAGATATTCAAGGCAATAAATAGCCTAGCTTAGATGAGAAAAGCTTTAGTTACCAGAACCTATTTTTAGGGCATAAGTTGCATTTAAGTGGCTCTAGGCTTTATATGGGGAATTGGCACAGAGTTTCTCCTGTTGTATTTTATTTATAGCTGTTTCTTCTCCTTTCCAGGGAAATTAGATTAGCTACATTAGTTCCATTATTATTACTCTCTGTCATTATTATTACTCAGTCTGTCCATCCATCCACCCATTTAGGTCTTGTCTGGAATTACCTAGGATTATCCTGCTAATGCATGTTGCCTTCACACAGAATATCATTTTTGTTGCTAAGAAACTGCTTTTGCATAACAGACAGCGTGGGCCTAATTTTCACTTCAGCAGCTGTTAAAGTCAACGGGAGCAGCAGGTGCTCAGCGCTCCTGCGAGCCGGAGCCAAAGTGTCCGTGGCAGAATTCCCACACAAGGTCTGACGCTGCATGCGAGTGTGTCATCTACATGTGCCGTGTGCTTGGGGACGCTGCAGCTTTGCGCTTGGAAGAGAAAAGGAGCAAAGGTTATCGAGTGTCTGCAGCGTGTCTGTGCTGTGCCAGTGCAGTTTCCTGCACGCCGGGACAGGAGGAGCAGCTGCGTGCGCTGGAATATTTGCTAGGTGGGAGTATTCCCCCGTCCCCTCTGCACACAGATGTGTGAATACGCATCTGTGGCTACGAGCTAAAAACTGTGTTCTCGCAAGCTGTCAGCGATGAGTTTGGCCCATTTTAATATTAACGTGAGCTTTCGTGTTCGTGTCTGCGCACGCCAGCTCACTGCGTGCAGATATCTGACAGCTGAAGGCGTGAGCGGGCTGTCTGCGTGCCGGGCTCTGTACCTGGACACGTCTCTGTCCCCTCTTGCCAACATCCATGTGTGAAATCCGCAGCACTTAGGCTGTTTATGCTGCAGGTCAAGGCACAAACACGGTGACATTTCCTCTCCCCGCTGGCTCTTTCATGTTGCTATGGTGATCAGATGCACTCGCACTTTTATCTGAAGTATCTATTAACTAAAGCTTCCTATTAATTTCCCCTCCACAGAATGCATATGGATTTCACCGGAACACCAGGTAGGCTTTTTAGGTCCCAAATTTACATCAGAGCCTGCCCCCAGTTCTTGGGTGGGCTGCCACAAACATCACAGGGCAGAAGAGCAGGTCATGAAAATGTTTTTTTTCCGTGAATAAAGAAATTGCTTAGTAATGAGAGAATAAAGAGCACAAGGAGTAGTGTCACAACAGCCTCTCCCTGTAGATGTGTGAATATAAAACACACTTGAGCCTCGATACCTCACCCCAACCCAGCTGTAAATGGATTATTTGGTCTGGGAAGTCCATGACAGCCAAAGGTGGGGGTGGCCTGAAAGGTCTGGGGCAGGATTTTGACCGTGCGGGGGGCAGAAACCAGAGGCACTCTGGTTCGTCCTGGTCAAATTCTTTTGTCCCATTGGTTCTCCTGCGTCCTTTGACTTCTCTTACTGAGGTCATCACCACTAGAATTAGTGTCCCAAACCAGGGCACCGGGGTGCTGGAAACATCACCCAACGGTGGAGACTGTCTCCTGCAGCAGATTGGCATCAGAGGTGCAGCTCCTACTTCCACTGACGCAACGATCAGGAATAGAAGATCTGCCAGTGAGTAACACCCCATCTAAAAGCACAGCTGAGTGATGCATCGCTGCGAGGGGTGAGCGTACACAGGGGTGCTTCCCGTGTCCTCCTGCAGACCTCGAGCTACTGCTGCTTGTCAGAGAAGCTGCCAGGAAACCTTCCTATGCAAGTGACAGTGATGAGTAACGCGGGGTGGATCTGAACACCTGGGGTAGAGATGAAGGGCTCAAAACTATCACGTCCCCCATCTACAGAATACATCCTCCACAAGGCCCCGGAGATTCCTGTGAAGGTTTTGTAGGGTAGTGCGGATAAAGCCCCAGCCAGTAGTCTGAGAATATAGAGGGAAATTAAATACCCACCCGAGGAAGAGAAGATAAAAAATGAGACGTTTTGACAGGGCTGCCAGATTGTGTGGCAGGAGGGTTAATTTTTTTCAAAACTGCCATTTCATATTCCCTTTCAGACAAGCTGAATTACACAGTACTGGCTGCTGGAGGAGTTGCATAATTTTCTTCATAGAAATAATGACAGGGTACTTAAGAAGCAAGTGAATGGATGGCTAAAGTATTGGGCAGGGACTTAAGAAATCTAGGCTGAGACCCCACCTTTGCTAGAGAGTCCTTTTGTGACCTTGGGCTGGTCATTTAAGCTTCCTATGTCTTATTTCCCTGCCAATAATGTGGAAATAATAACTGTTCTTCAACTGTCTTGCTTATTTAGACTGCAAACTCAGAATTTACAGGTTGCACCTTGTGTGCTTATAGGGCAACCAAAGCCAAAGAGCTTCAATTCACACTAAAGTGTCTGGGACAACCATAATATACGAAGCAGATAATAATAAAAAGGCTCAGATATATGGTTTGGAACATTTTCAGCATGAAAGGCTCAAGAGTTCCTCACCCATTGTTCCACATCTCTTCCCTCAATGTGACAAAGTTTGGATCTGTACTAAGAGTTCCAAAAGCCTATAAATAATTTAGGAACTAAGTCCATGCTGATTTACTGAATTGCTGAGTTACTTATGAAACTGTGAACAGATAATTTAGATGCCTGCAAAATTTTCTGCAAGGTCTTTGTGCTCAGTCTGTCACTGCATTAAAGGTTAGCAGCAGACTGAGTCAAGATCCTCATTTTTTCAGAGTTTAAATTTAGGTTTGCAGGTAGCTGTGTACCAAGGTTTTTTATCAATCTCTTCAGCTTTTAGGGTTTTGTCTTGATTTCCAGAAGTCAAGAGGGTGGCGGCTTCTTGCTACTAGGTCCAGTGAAGACAAGATCTCCTATATAGTTAAGCAACTACATGAGAAATTTGCTGTACAAAGGGAGCAATTCTAAAAATAGTGAGAAATGGCACCACGACATTAGCAGGAACAATGACCCAATACCCAACTTGCTGCAGGGGCTTCTGTCCTATAACTACCTTCATCATTAAGGCTTGTGATGACATTATTTTCTGTGCTTATATAGGGCATGAGGTCACAGCTACCTGGAAGGAAGGATTTTGATCAGACTGCAGAAGATGAACAAGCAGGAGAAGCATGTTGGGTAACACTAAATCAATGTAGTTTCATTTACATTAGACACCAGCCAGGCAATTTCAACATTAATGGTTGCACTGCTGCCCTCTGAATTTTTTGTAGATTTAATATATCAGTGGGGGAGTAAAAGAGAGGGGGAGTGTGAGTCGTTCTTGCTTATGATACATGGATCTTTTCTTTCATGCATCACCAAAGGACAGCAATTTGTACAGTTGTTAAATTCTTTTGGCAATAGATCTCCTGAGATAAGCGTTGCTCTGCTCCTGCCTCACAGATTATCTAAAATGGTAATAGCATCTTTAGACCCCTCCTTCTCCCAAACAGAAAGGACGAAAGACTGGCTCTGAGGCAAATGGCAAGGCAGCAAGAGCAGCAGATCTGGACCGAAGCCTCAGGCTCAGTTTGCTTTTTGTGGAGCCACCAACTGCCTTTGTGCGTTTTGGCAAGTCATCACCTCTAACCCGCACCACAGCTCTCCTGTGTAACGCGTGGCTGCCGCACAGGAGTCGTGATGGAATGAAGTGCTCAAATACAAAAGCAGTGAGGGACATACAGGTTTCTAGGTAGACAGAGAACTCAACCATCTTCCTAAAAGGCAAGAATAACTGTTTCCTTTTACAGAGGCAGAGACCAGCATAAGAAATTGCAACAGGTCAATAGACACATAGGAAATAGAACCGGGGAGTTGCGGTTGCTGTTCAATCCCAGCTACAAACAACGGAGTATTAGGACCCACGAGGAACCTGGATGTTACTGGCTGGCTTCAAGGACTGTAAAGTATGTTTGTAAACTGCAAAGCACGGAGATTTGGAGGTCAGGGGACTGACTGGCTTTGCCTTGTAGACATCTGCTGTAATATGCCCTGGTGCTCTGCCGCACCAGCTCTGCAGAGAATTGTCCAAGTAGGGTTCTGTTTCAACCAAAATGACCTAGTTGAAGGTAAAGTTGAAAGGACTGAGGTTTCTAAATTAGATATGTCATAAAAACAATGACAAGTGTGCAATGCTGAGCATATCTTGTTTAGGTTAAAAACAGCAACAACAAACAACAACCAAAAACCAAAGAAAAGAAAAGGCTTTACGTCACCAACAACCCAAATTTTTAAAGACATTTCAGCATTTACCTTTACCACTGGCCTCGGCAGGATTCAGGAGTTTCATTTTCACACCTAAATACCTTTGAGAATAGAGGCTCTGGGTGGTATTGAAAATTTGTTCTTTTCATGTATTAAAACCCTGTAGGAAGCAAAGGGCTAGATTTTCAAAACAATCCCCTCTGGGCATCAAGGTACAAGGAAGGTCTCTGAGCACCCAGCAGCTGGTGTTTTGAGTCCTTACCCTGCCACAGATTTGTTGTGGGGTCTTTGAGCGAGATACTTCACTTAATGATAGTTGATTTCTACGTGAAATTGCGTTGACATTCAAGTGGGTGAGTGCCCTGCTTGGGGAGGGCTGCTCAGGGCTGCGGGATGAGCCCCGCAGCTTCGTTCTTCGCAGACACTTCCGCTGCTTCACTCAGAGCTCGAATTTGGTTAACTTCAAGGGGATGGGAAGTGAAGAACAGAGTGAGTCACGATACAACCTCCAGCATCCCAAAACACTTAAATACATACTTAGCTTTCAGGCCTGGAGCGGCTGCGTGGCAGACAGGGCTCTCCTGCCAGCGAGGGTGCAGGTCTGGGCTGTATGGCAGGCTATGATTTGTTGTCACCTTTATAAATCAGAACAACAAAATCACTAGTCTTCCACACAGAGCCAGACCACCAGGAGCAGCGCTTCCTCATTAGAGGCATCCTCCTTCACGTCGTCTTCTGTTACCCTTCCTTGGTTGTTCTCATTCTTTCAACACCCGTTTCTCATTTCAGGGATGGATGCTGCCCTTTGCAGTGAAAATTAAAAAAAAAAAAAAAACCAAAAACCAAAACAACCAACAAACCAAACAAACGGTGTTCTTCGTGAGACCGTGTCAAATCTCACTGTAATCATCTGTCCAATTTTGTGACAGTACCTGTGAGTTGCTGCTCTATTTTCTCACTCAGGAGACTATATATGCCTATGAAAATTTGGATAATGTTTTTTTCAGGGATATCAGGGCTCAGCAGGGTCTCCTTTTTCCTTACCCTATGATAAACTTCTCCAGGAGTGGTCTGTCAACCTGTCTATCTCTCAGTTGTATTTTGGGCTGACTAAAATAAGCAAATGCAATATATACTCAGGAATGCTAGAGAAAAGGAATCAGTTAGCAAAGAAAAAGATAATGATAGTGCCAAGTTTCCTGGAATCCTACTGAGAGACTGATTTAAGCAAGAAAAACAAAATCTTTTTGCTGTTTCCTTTTCTCTGAAGTTGTTGATGAGTAATCTTTATTTCACCCCAGGTTTAGCTTTGCTTCCACTACCCAGGTTTCTCTGTTAATGCCTCACATATGGCATGAATCAGGTGTGAAAGGACAATTCTGGCTCACGTCCACGGAAAGGATCTTACTTTATTCCTTTCGACTGCTGTTGTCTGAGTGAGGCTTACTTACCTCAGCCCCTGAAACCAGACAAGGGACGGCATCCTTTCCGTCTTCAAACCAAGCCTGTTAAATGTACTTTTGTAAGCAGTCGTACAAAAAGTGAGAGAGACAAAAGTATCCTTCAACGGCCTCAGCTCTGCAGAGCTGCTGTGGTGAAAGGCTCCTTTCATAGAAGGAGAAAGAGTGTTCAGCAAAAGGAGAGGGTTTGCTGCTGCTGACAGAGGTTGTGCCCCATGCAAGCTCGCAGAGAGCAGTCCAGTCCCTCCTGCCCTCCCTCCCTCCCTCCCTCTCTCTTTTTTTAAACATATGTGCTTTCTATGGACACTTTAATCAAACTCCAGATGGGTTGTTTCAATCTGGGGATTTGTGCTGCTCCGGAGATAACAGTTCATTGTGCTAGCCTAGGTAGCAAGTGTGTTTGTGATAGCTAGAGCCGATACCAGGAGATGTCCAGGTGGTCTTATTTAACAGGGGGTATTAGCGACACTGCCATTGTCCGGGAAATCAGATAAAACTGCGGTCCAGGTGTTACCCTACACCGTGTTTGTGTAATGACGTTGCCAACTGCTGATGGCTACCTCCATTAAAACAGAGACCAAACGCTGCGGAAGTGTGATATTTTCTTGTACGAGATTGCTGTCGTCCCCAAACTTCTGCAGGGTGCATCGTTTAAAGTGCAAAATTTAGTCTGAATATAAAGTGGAGCAGTAGTGAGCGTGCACTCCTTGCTCACACTGAATACAGCTTTATTGTGATACTTGTCTGTGCTGGTCTGGGCTTGAATTTCCTAAATTAAGGCATTTCCTCTCAATTGTCACATATTTTCCTCTCTGCTCTACCACAGAGTGTTCTCCAATGAAAATGCTTTGTGGGATGAGACAATTTTTAGAAATAAGCTGCCCAATTCAGTATTCTGCCAAGGATAATTAGAAGAGAGAATGAATTGTAAAGATGAATGAACTTGAGAGAGAGAAGGTAGTTTGGGAAGTGCTAACCTGGACTGTCATTTCAGGTGACAAGAACACTCTACAGTCCTTGTTCTGGAACAACGCAGCCCAGCACAGTGATACAGCGAGGCCAGGAAGGGATTTGCCACAAATTATCCGTGGACAATCATGTAATAAAGACAGGCGAAGTAGCTGCTGGGCTCGAGCGAGGGATGAAGTCCTCTGCCGTTTTTACACACATGCATTCCCTTTCGAGCAAGGTATTTAGTAGAAAACATAAATTCCAGGCTCAGAGGCGTGCGAGACTTTTGTCTAGACTTCAGATAGTGTGATCTGTCTCTGTAGGGCCATATTTCTCAACGTGATATTTTTCAGGATGGTATCTGCCACTTTGAGTTTGTCCCAGAGATTTCAGCAATGTGGAAGCTTAACAGCTCCTTGGAACTGTGGCGGATGAACCCCATGGCACTGAGGGGCCGCTGTAGTTTCTTTGTAATTGTTTATATAGTTAGGATCTAAACTTAGCTACAAAACATGGTGGGAAAAAAAAAAAAAGCCTGGTTAGAGTGGGGACTCAAGAGCTTAGCCTCCAGCTATCTTAGAAGAGGCTGGCTCATCATGGAGAGATCCCCAGCTGCACTTCCAGGCTGTAAATTAAACAAACAGTATTTCCTATGTACCAGACCACAGGGATGGTAGAAAGAACAGCGTGGCCTTATTGCTGTTATTTCCTTTGGTTTCAATCTCTGTCCTCTGCCCCCCACCTCCTTCCCAGACTGGTGTTGCCCACTTTACCCGATTTGTTATTTATTACAATGGTTTAAAGAGAGGCAGGGGGAAAAATGCTCAGTGCAAATTATATTTTGAGCTGTTGTGCTTTGCCTCTTTGGTGGATAATAAATCTCTCTGGCAATGCTCCTCTGTATAGGATTTGTCATTAAATGCAATTAAACAAACCCTGCAGGTGTCCATGATCAGGCCTGCAGCAGCCCATTCACAACTGCAATGTTATTATCATCCTGACAACAAAACACCAGATATTTCCTGAGCTCCTCTGATCGATGAGCTTGCCTGACTTGGAACTGGAGGGAGGAGAGAAGGGGGGAACAAAGTGGTTCAAATGGTCTTTAGACATATTGATGGAAAAGTCAAAAAGCTGCTCAGCAATCAGAGAGAAGGTGGAAAGAGAAAAAGGCAGAGGAACAGGAAGGCTGAAAGGAAAAAATGAGAGGAGTGTTTTGGAGCAAAAGGATAGAAATGAGGCAATATACCACATGGTATCCATCTACCCAATGATTTTGTTAATGCACAAGACTAGAATTTAGGACGCAAGCAAGGTATTTTAGGTATGAATGTAAATTTAGCCCATTAACAGTTAGGCTTTCAGTGTTAAGTGAGTCATGTAGGCTCCCTTTGGAGTCAGTGCAAAAATTAATCTCAGCCTAAGGCACAACTTGACTGGTAGGTTGACTTGTTATCCAGAGATATCTGTCTGTCCCCGTTACCTGTAGCCATATGGGTGGGTCAGATACCCAACTAATTGCAAATCCCACCCGTAACAGCCAAAGGAATTGGCTCTTGCTGGATGTATGTTCCTTTCTATCTTCATTCACAAGGAGGCGCTTCCTGGCACAGCTAGCAGGAGAGCATGCTACAGAGGCATTGATAACAGTATTTGTCGAAAGCAGATGCAACACTTACACCACAATTGTGGCGTGCTCTGACAATTGGGGAGCAGGAAAAAACTCCTGCGGTTTATTTCAGCCATCCTAGGCAGCCCGCAGAGTATGAAGGTCAGGGATTCACAGGGGACTAGCTGCCATCAAGCCCAGTGAGAGAGAAAAATTTGCAAACACTAGTCAAATTATTCTGCCTGAATCGTTTGCTCAGCTCAGCCTCGGGGTGCTCTCAGGATGAACCTCTTCCCTCTTCTGCTCTCACCCCAGGAATCCTAGTTTAGTCCAGTTGACTGCTGGGGCACATACAGAATCGCAGTGACAAGGAATAGCTTATATTACTGTAGCACCTTTGCTAATGCGTGGTACCACAGAAAGCCATTTTGGGGTTGGATAAAGGGAATTAAATGAGCAGGCTTCAGTAGCGTGTGAGCGTATGTAGAGTATAAGGAATAATTATTTACTTCCACAAAAAAAAAAAAGAAGAAAGAAAAAGAAAAAAGCTATTGTCAGGGCCTTTGACTAAGCTTTTATAGGCTCATCTGAAATGCCCAGTAGGGCAAACAGCACGAAACCCTGTTTACTGACATCAGAGATGAAGTTGGGATTATGGCAGAAGGAGCCAGGATTTCTGCTGTCAATCCATGGGTCTCAGGATAACAATTTCCCTGGCCCATGCATCTAGATCGCTATGCAGCGCTGGTCTCTGGCTCCCTGGTTGCTAGGGCAGCCCAGATTTCTATACCAAAGAATGTCCTCTCTTTCCTACTCTCCTCCTCAAACGCTGGAGGATTTCCCTCTCCCACTTTCTATGTCCTGCTTTCCACATTGTATTGCCACTTAATCTGCTGGTTTGTGCCATTAGCAGACCGAGGTGCAATTATCTAGTGGCACAAGTCAGCACTGGTCTGTTGAAGGTAACAGAAGTGCCCTATTCCTTGTGCTACCACAGAATTTGGCCCTCAAGTCTGGCTGCAAAGTGTCAATTCACTGGACACACCAGTGGTTCCCCAGTTGTGGTCCTTGGGTCAGTGGTGGCCTTCAAGGGCATAGAAAAATCCACTGCCACCAGTAATATTTATGAATAAATCCTGCGTGGCTTCGCCTAGAGATCCTGGGGATGTCTGAGGTAACACCGGGTCAGAACGTTTGGGAGCAAAACCAGCAGCCGTGCTGGTAACACGGCATTGCACCCCTCTAGTTTCTTCCATTTCCCTCTGTCTCTGCCTGGACTCTGCTCTCAGACACATCCGCCCAAATCTAGAAACATCTCTGATTTACTCCTCCCAGATGCTGTAGGATTTGCGCTGGGGTGACAGAGCCGACACAAAGGGATGTGTTCTCTTCTAGGAAAAAAAAGACAAGAACTGGCATGTCCCGCCTGCCAGTTTGAGGAGCCCGGTGACTGCTAATGAGTGTCACTGGGACAGATCTTCAGCTGGCGTAAATAAGCACTAGCTGATTTTAAGTCCACAAGGACTTTAGTGGAACTATGTTGATTTACACCAGAAGAGCAGGTGGTCCAGGGCTGAGGCTGGCTGGGGAAAACCCCCTGGAGTTTCCATCAGTGGGTGTGAGAGTGGGGTAGAAGCCGGCTGCGTGTGTGAAGGGGTGCAGAAAGCAAATAAAGGGAAGAATAGGAAATGCACATCTTACAGGATTGACTTCTCCAACAAACACTTTTTTTTTTTCCTTCTTCCCACTTCCCTTCTTCCCCACCTCCAGCAGCTCCTCTCACACACGCTCCCTCTCCATGCTGCTCATCTCCCTTTGTGCACCTCTTACCGCACTCTCCTCTCTAAACAGGTGCAGTTGCCACTCAATAGACTTTAATTACCACTTCAAGGGCTCTCACCAGGGTCTGTTGGGAGGGTGGAGATGAATTTTCCTGAGGATTATGCGTATATCTGAGTTCTTTTTAGTCAGATGGCAATATTGCTGTCAGTCTGTATCCTTCGAGAGATTGTTTCTTCATGTTCTCTCTGCTTGTGTTAACAAAAAGCGAAACTGCTGAGGAAGGAAAAACACCCCAGCCATTAGCTAGATTAATTATCAGGACAGCAAACTGGTCTAGAGAAGAATATTATGGACAGTTTTTTTAAAAAAAGGGAGTCTCAGATGAGCTTCTAAAACATTATTTCTGCTTGCAAATAGGCCAAATTTTCAGAAGTGGAGAGCTCAGCATCTTCAAAGATTTCTGTGGGAGACTGGGGTCTAAAAATACAAGTTGTTTTTAACCACTTTACCTTCTTTCTGGCTCCGTGCTCTTCCCACCGCAGCTCGCTGGAGAAATGCACGGTTAATGCATTCTGCTGGTACCCCGGGGGATTCCTCCAGAGTGAACATGTCAGTTGATTTCTGTCTTCAGCATAGTTTGCCTATGATGGAGAGTTATTCCCAATGTTTAACTAGTAACATAACATTATTTTTATTATTAAGATCCTCTTCAAAAGACAATCCTGGAGAATGCAGAGCAGAAGCTTACATCTGCCGGATTTGCTTGAAATTGTTTGCCCAGCGTGTGAGCATGCACTTGTGTATAAATGGAGATGCGCATGGAAATGGATGTACGTGCTTCTACATGCCAATACACGCACCACTGGAAAAGATAGGAGCTGGAAATGTAACAGTATCTTTTGGGACAGGGAAGTTTTCCAAATATTTGAAAAATAATTTTGTTTTTGCTCAACATTAACATTTTTCATAAAATGAAAAGCAGGAAGGAGATTTTTATATATATATATATATATATATCAAATTAAGCAGCATTTTCTTCTGCCAAAATTAAGTTTGTTTTCCTAAACAAGCAATTCAGCAAATGGGGGGAATAGTATAACCAAATCTGCATTTCTGCATACGTGTTTTCCGTGAAACATTTTGCCTAGCTCCAAAACAGCTGTGCAGATGCAGCATCTGGGCTTCTGTTTGGCACTCGCTTCTGTACTGGTCCCCGAGCACACACCAGTGTCCGTGCCAGAGGGCAAGACAGCAGCGTCCCTGCGGGAGAGTCTGGGCTGAGGTTCTTACGTGTAAAGTCGTGTCTCTGCACCCGAGCAGCATTCATCTCCCAGCCAGCACGGCCTCTGTGCGCTCCTGCCCGCTCTCAGCTTCTCTTGCTACCTGCAGCACGACGACAGAGGGGATGAAGGAAAGACAGATGGACAACACTGGTGGGAATATGCTGGTGTAAAAGCAGAGTAATCACAGTCCCAGTTCTGTCCTAAGACATCTCTTTAGTCTCTCTCTGGGAATGTTCTGTTCCTCCTCCCTGAGGCTTGGAGTGCAACTGTGACCTGAGAAAGTGATGAGGTGTGTGGCAGCATGGGCTTGGTGTGGGACAATGCTGCCCGCTGGTGCAGGGTCTGTGATGGGAAAAGGAAGAGGCATGGCGATGTGCCTGCAAGGGATTCCCCTGGGCAAGCACAGCATCTCCAGGCCACTTTCTCTGGACTTTCCCCTCACTCAGGGGGATCCTGTACTTCTCCACCAGGAATCCTGCAGTCCCTCCCTCTCCTATTCCTGCCCTCCCCAGCCTCTGGAGAGCTTCCAGCCCTCCTGACATTCCCACTCTTCATTTCCCGGGTTGTGTCCTTCTACTTCTCTCTGTGGCTCTTTATTTCAGCTTCTAGGATTTTAAAATCCTTCTGTCTTCATCATGTCTTCCTCCCCCGCCTCCTTCCTGTTCTTGTGCATTTTGCTTTCCAGGCCCATCTCCCACATGTTCTCCTGCCATTTATGTGGGACTGGGATGAACATTGATCACAGCCATCTCAAACCCATCTCTCCCTTTCCCAAAGAACCAATGAAAATGTCACCCATGAGATAATCATCATGTTGCTCACGTCCCTTAATTGCTCTCAAAGTACACATCGAGGCTGCAGAGCCTCTTTGAAAGGCAGGTTCTGGCCTTTGGCACATTATTGACAGGCTGTTGATAGGCCCCTTTGTTGAGGAGCAATTTTGTCCCTTTTGCTGCACAATTTTTTGTTGTGGGGTTTTTTTTTCTTTCTTTTTTTTTTTTTTTTTAAAGACAGCCCTTTCAGAGAGAGTAGATTTTAAAAATAGAGCTGAGCTCTGGATGAACAGGCACCAGGCTTATTCCTGAGAAGCAGCGTCATACATGTGAGATGAGAGCTACCAGCATGTTTCATGCAAGACTCCATACAAGAAATCAAAGCTATGGTGACTGATAGCTTCGTCCTAGTTGCTTTTTATTCCTTCCCCTCCTAGACCTGGTAATTAGATGTTTACTTGCATTGTATTACTAAACTATTAGATGTCTTGTGTGTGCGAGTGCACGGTCCCTGGTAAATAAGTAAGAGGAAGTTGACACTCAGGCTGTGCAGCAACCCATTTGTTTCTATTAGCGATAATTATTTTGTTTATTTAATACCTGCTGATTAAAATGGACTAAGATTTCCGCATCACAGCAGCCCTTCACTGTCTGAAAAGCTGTACAGGTCTGGGGCAATTGCTGGTGAAAGGGAATATGGAGAGCAGAACAAAGCACACTTGCTCTCCCATTACTGTCATGGGCAGAGATCTTCCATTAGCAGTGCGGAGTCTATGACACAGAGCCGAGCAATTCTCACATCACCTACTGATTCCTGTAGTACACAGGCACTTTAAAGCCACCTCTTTAATATAAATTTACTTTAACATGCCCTCCCCGTGTAAGCCGGGCTCCCACTGTGGTAGATGCTGCATGGACACCTCAAGTTAACCCTAGTAAAGCCTTCAGCATGGCCGCGCAGCCAAGCTCCACTCTCCGTCTAAGTAGACTTTCAACACGATCCTTAGCAAAATCTCCAGGCTATATGCAACTAAAACCTAACCCTGACAGAAATGAAATTCTTTCCTCTCTGAAACAATGTCCCTTGGAATGATTTGGCTGTTAATGAACCCCGACTGAGCTGCTGTATTCTGGAGCCACTGGTGTGCATTTTAACAAGGAGCTCTCTATGTGTGGATGTGCATCAACATAGCCAGCCCCCATAATGGAAGTCTGTTCAGCATTGTAAGTCCCGCATTAGCCTGTGCCTGTAGGAACCCTGGGACGTTCCACTGAGACTGCCTGAAGGTAATCATCTCTCCCAGCCTCCTGGCTGTCCCTAACCAAGTGCTCCGCTTGCATCTATTCCAGGAAACAGCTCTGGAGATTATAAAGTTTAGACCCTAATGCATTCACTAGCAACAAGGGGGGGAAAGTGCCGTTTGATTATAGATGAAAAGGAAAAATGCAAGGGGCTATGGTATTCAGAAAAACCTTCAGCACGCTGTGATTTGGTTGTTGAACCCTGTAAGGGACTGGAAGCCCTTGAACTTCATTGTTTTCTCTGAGTCAGTTCAGCCAATTCATAAGCATTCCTTGAAAAACACAGTCCACCTCGAATTCATCTTAGAATCCTGCGTGATTCGGATTGCGTGATCCCAGTACTTCCCACCACAGAAACCCAATTCATACATGACATCCACTTAAATACATATTGTGTGCGTGTGTGTAGCACACACATCACAGGGAGTAGCACATACACGCATTATTTAGATCAGTTGTACGTTACAGAGAATGGAGTCCACTCCGTGAAAATTCAGGAAAATCAGTTCTTTCCAAGCCATTCCCTTATGGATAGCCATTCCCTTATGGATAGACCAGCAGAAAAATATAATGCCTGTCATCTAGAAAAAGAAAAATCAGCTAGTTTATTTTTAAAAGTTGTGGACTCGTTAGTTGGCATCTATTGTTCTACCTACCTGTGTTGCACCTTGTCAGGTTATGTAAAATCTGCACATACCTCTGTTGCCAAACACACCTTCATCAGCACGTAGTGAGAACTGCGCTAAAATAAAATGTTGGCTGAATTAGATGGAGCGGATTAGAAAGATGAGAAAAGATAAGCTAGGAGAAAATAAGATGATAAATAGGCCTGGCAAGATAGATGGATAATCTTCCTCCCAGGCCAAACATGACAAGATAATAACCTTTTTCTTTTCTCTCGTTCCATTTGCTCTTGGATCTCCAGAGCTCTATGAATTATCACTTAATTTGGTCTTTTGGTGCCCCTGTGAAATGGGTATCACAATGTCCATTTTTACAGAAAAGGAATCTAAGGTACATTACTTAGGAATAGGTTTAAGTTTAAGATTAGGATTGCAAAAATCAACTGAACTGTTCTCTTTTGTGGGTTTGGTGCTTAGCCATCGCTGTGCCTCGGGCACTACGGTACGCCGAGGACAAGCAGGTAAAGTCAGCGAGCTACAGCCGCCTTTCCACACCTCTGCCACGCTGTTTGCACGGCCAAGCCAGAGCCAGAGCGAGTCTTGGCCTCTCCTTCCGAGTGTGTCCCTGTTGCTGTCGCCAGCTGGGGACAGTGACTGTCACGAGAGCCAGGCAACGCTCGGAGCTAGGAGCAGGTGCTGTGAGGGCGCAGCTCTCCTTCTGCTCCCTTATCGTGTTGTGATCTGGAGAGCAGAGGTTGCACCTGGCGATGGGATCAGGGTAACTTCCCTTTCACCCCTTATGCTTTCAGAATATAGATTATTTCTGAGCAAATCTAAACAACCTGTATGAGCAACTGATAAGCTCGTTAAACATTCAGGACTACGACGGCGCTTTCTGAATCCAGAGGAGGCTTGTCTGAACTGTCCTTCGCTCTCCTTGCTCAGGAGAAATTCCCTAGATTCGGTACAAGGTCTGAGCCTGCAGCTTGCAAAGCATTTCGTCCTTTTCTGGAGCCTTTACCTTCCAGATGGTGACACCTTAACCAAGTGGGAGATCCTAAGTAAAGTTTTCTATCGCTTTGTGTCATTGATTTCTCCACGTACATTCATCTGGCAACACAGAGCAACGGAATATTTGATTAAACAGAATTACAGACCACAACATTAATAATTTTGTGAGTTTAACTGAAAAGATTTGCAATTGTTCTCCCTGGGAGCTGTGCAATTTTCTCCTTCTTCTTAAGAGAAACTCTCCTTTCTACTTTAATGGCAGGGTGTATTGTCATCTTACAGTAGCACGTACTGACTATTGCTTCAGTCTGGGGGGACTTGAATCCATGCGATATTCATCTGGGTTGGAACCTTGTAGGTGGACTGTTCATCATTGGCTCTAGATTTTCAAAAGAAGTTAGCAATTTGGAATACCTTATATTTGTGTTTGAGACACTTTGAAAGCGGAGTGATTATGAGAGAAGCAGGTGCTTAGAAGTCCCTGAAAATCAGGACTAGTTGAAATATGTCATGTTGAGCACCTGAGAACACTAAAGGCTTTGGAAAGTCACAGAGGGGTGTTCTGTGTCTGAACATGACTTGGGAAGACTGTACAGCCTTAAGTAACACAGGATAAAAAGCAGATCTTTGCATAACATTATGGAAACATCCTTTAATCCTCAGTTCAGCCAAGTGCTTAACTTTAGGCATGGATTTGATTCCTGTGGGAGTTAAGTGCTGAAGGTTCTGCAAGTGTATTTGTATTTTCCCAAAGCGGGGCCTGAGATGGTGTAAGTTACTGTAGGTTTGGTTTATGAAAATAGTTCTGAGTTGATCTCCAAATTAAAATAAAACAAAAGGCAAAGTTCTCCCCTCCGTCCTGAAGTGTGATGCTGAGTAGGACACACAGGGCTTTCTGCATGTCCATGCATTCACATGCAGAGCCACAGACTGTACCATGAAATGTCTATTCTTTGCACTTCATAAAAACCTCAAGCCTGAGTCACAGACTGTGTTAAGTGCTGAACAAACACAGAACAAAATGTCCATGCCCCAAAGAGATTACAGTCTCATGCAGCCGGGCTGCTCGCTGCGCTCACCGTGGTGATGTAACTGTAGGGCTTGAATTAATGCAAGATTCTGCAGGGCTGCAAACATGCACGCGAAAAGCAAACAAGTAATCATGCAAACAAAACCCACTCAGCTCCTCCCCTGGTCAATCGGCAACCCATCCGAAAAATCTTTGCTTGGCAACTCTTGTTGGAGCCTCCCCTTAGAGCTCGGAGGCTGCTGAAGGCAAAATCTTGTTATTGACCCTCAGCTGCACTACTACACGCACGCCGGCGCGGTCTGTTTATAAACAAGGGAAAACTAAAAACTCCATACTCATTATACACCAGGAAGGGGGCCATATCTCACAATCAAAACTCGCAGGAGCCATCTGGTCTCTGTAAATAAGGGCTACTGGAGTCAGGGCAGGAGTGTGTAATGATCGGAGGATGTGAATAGCCCTATTCATGCAAGCAGTATAACAAGTACTAAGCTAGTAGCGTGCTTAAGGCTCTGCTGAGTCAAACAAAAATGTGGCAGTAAGGTGGGTTTTATTTATTTTTTCCCGTTGCAGGGTCAAACCTACAGCTACAGGACGGAGGTTCTTTGGCGGCACGGGCTGGATGCTTTCTGCACATACGGGAGTCAGGATAATGCACGCTCAGCCCGGGTTTGTCAGCGGGGCGCCATGGCCAGGATTTTCAAAGCTGCTTGGAGGGCAGGTCCGTTTAATCTGAGCGAGTGCTGAAGTCTCCAGATATCCTGGGCAGCCTTAGGATATTCAAACACAAATATCAATATCGAATATTGTATTAACTGTTCCTTAGCCTTTTTTTTTTTTTTCTTTTCTTTTCTTGCACTATTTCGTCTCTAGGCTTAAATGTAGGAAATGTTATTAAATTAATATCCCAGCATCTATTTTACTAAAGGCAGGATTTACAAAGGCATTTCAGCACCTAAAGATAGATCATTTTAATAGAATTTACCACTGAATTTGGAACCCCACTCCTATTTTCAGGTGAAGTGTACGCTGACTTCTATTACAAATCCCACCGGGATGCTAACGTCTGTTCTAAACTCATTCAGTTTTTAAGAGGTGTTAAACAGTGACGCATTTCGAGGCTGCACAACATCAGAGCAGCCTTTGAGGGGAGGCCTGCCCGTACAGAATGTCTGCATCAATTTCATCACCTGTTTTTCATCTCTTCTGTGCTCTGGGTCCTTATCAGGACCTTAGACTAGTTCCACAGGAGGTTTATTTCTTTTGCTTTCCTAGTAATGGATTGCTCTGGAGGGGTCTGAATTTAGTATCTTAACGGAGACAACTCCCATTGATGTCAGCGAGCAGAAAAACCAAATTCTTTGCTCAGAGTTGTTCCTTAAGATCTGACTCCGGCCCCGATTCGCTTGCGTACCTAAATCCTGCTGAAGTGTTTGCTGAACTGGGGCTGGAGGCAGGTGCTTAAATTGAAGTGTGTGCTTAAAAGCCTGGCTGAGCCAGACCCCCTGTCTCCTGTTGTCCACGGGAGGGAATCGGGTTCGGCAGGACCACGCTTGTGTCGCAGTGCAGTAGTGGACCCCGGCGCACGCAGACACACGCGCATCGAGTGCGCACGAATGCAGGTGTTTGAACGAGACTGAATGTAAAATTGCATGTGAATGCAGGTGCCTGGAGCAGGCACAGCGCCTAGGTCTGCACGCCAAGTTCAGGTGTCTGGGGCGGAACAAATCTCTGCCAAAGAGAGAAGAACCTCGACATGTTTATCCAAGCTCAAAAGCTGTTGCAGATCTTGCATCTGAAATCCACTCTCTTTTTCCTGCTGAGATTCCCAAGCACCTCCCAGTCTCCCAGCTACTCACAGCCTGAAATCCTACCAGATGCCATGATTGCAGTGGAAAAGCAGCTCATTACTGGAGTGGCAGGCAACGCACAGACAAATATTTGTGCAAGGCACACAGAGCCTGGAGACTGGAACACATTGTCTCTCTGATGGGAGGAGGAAAGGGAAAAGAGGATCTTGCCTTTAGCAAAATTAAATAACAAAAATCTATACGGTGTTTATTTCTGGCAAAACTTAGAATGTTTTCTTCTAGCAGGCAATGTGGTAACCTCCTCCCAGATTGATTTCCAGTTTATGCATTTTGCTAAAGACTTTAAGGGTCAGGAATTAAATTGAATTAAGTTCAGATCTTACCCTGAATCCCCTGTTCTTCGGAGACCTCTGTGTTAGGGTTTCTCAGAAAGGAGACAGGATTGTATCCTTCTATGAGGTGATTTTTTTTTTTTTTTGAGATCTACAGAAAATTGCCAGTAAAAAAAAGGTTACAAAATATGCCCTAAACAAATTGAAACGCGACTTTGATTAAGCAATACACTCCGCACAATATAAAATTTAGTTAGCTTTGAGGATATGATATCATCTGTTAATATTTTTTTTTATATTAAATATGAAATCTGATTCGGCAATTTCCCAGAATGCGGAGATAAACCCATAAAAGCAGGAATAGGTATTTGGTGCAATATCATTTTCTAGCTTCTCCTCAAGTTCTTTTGCATGCCTGTGTTGAGGCGGGAGATAAAGAACAGGATTTCTTGCCCTTATTTTACAGCTGAACTTCAAAGGGAAAAGACCTTACATTGATGTTGTGAGGGACAAGGCGTTACAAAAACTGAACCTCAGCACTATGTTGCTCTGAGGAAAGATCACAAACTGAGTCACTGTGCGGACACAGAACTGATGGCAGATGTTAAAAGATTTACAGATAGAGACCAGAAGGATACCGCTCCATTCAAATTCCACAGGCAAGCATTTCTACCATTAGTTTGTTCCATGTATCTAATGAATGCTCCTGAAGGATGTGTGTGTATTCAAGGCCTTAAAGGAAATATCAACTTTCTTTTCAAGTGGTTTTCTTCTTTCCCAAATATTTAATGCCAAAACAGCAAATAGGAAGTTCCTTAAAATGGAGAACAGCTTGTTTCCTTTTCCTCTCAGAGACCAACATTACTTAAGAAAAATATAGGTGTAAAGACAGGAGACAGGGACAGGCTGAGCCTTGGATTATATTGCCTTGTTGAGCCTCTTTTTAGTAAAGTGTTTAAACCTATGTTTAACAGAGCTGGGTGAGAATAGGGATTCATTTAGTGAATAGTCTCCCAAAAATGGAGAGAAAACCAATGCAGCAAACCACTTCAGCTGACAAGGACAATATGAAACGCTTTCCAAAGTGCTCAAACACTTTACTCTTAACATTTTATCTTTTTTTATTTTCTAAATTATATCCATGGGTTTAATAATCTAAACAGAGAAAAAAAAATGTTTTAGTACAGCTTGTGCAAATTTCTGAGTTGAGGCAGAGTTAGGTATTTTGTTTAAATTTTGTCAAAATTAAAACAGAAAAACTGTGTTCATTTTATCCTACTTGATTGGGGGGGAGTAAGCATTTTATGAACAAATCCACTGAGCACTTAAATGTAATACAACCTGTCAATGGACCCTAGATGTACCACTAAAGCCAGACAAATTTTGAGTGCCCAGCTAGAATAAACCACCGAGGAAAAATATTTTCAAATAACTGTTCATTGAAGAATTTACTCCCAACAGCATCTTGGTGAAATATTCTCTTTGTCCTAAGAGAATTTTAAGAGCAACTTTATCCCGGAACTACCAGCCAGCCCCATGTCAAATCAATAATTTGGGGGGTTTATGGCATAAAGCTGGTGGAGATGGACAGTGTGGATGACATCCAGAGTCGTATGGTGGTTCTTGGCTCCTGACCTGGTTTAGTCCCAGCCTTACCCCACGGCTCTGTCTTACCTGGGGCTAGTCGGAGAGCGCAGCTCAGGCTACTCCAGCCTCCCTCCACCACGCTGAGCCCTCGGCTCTCGGCAGATCCCACCTGTCCTGCCCGCAGCCTCGCCCCGGCGCCTCGGGGCTGGTGTCCGCGGGTCCCTGCCCGGACAGCGGCTGCGCCTTCAAACCGCACCGGCGCTTCTGCGCCAGCACCGGGCATCTGCGGGCTGACCGGGGCCGTGCCCGCGCCCGTTCCCAGCTCTCTGCCCCCAGACCCCGCTTCCTATCGTCCCCTCCGGGACTGGACTCACCCTGGCCCCGGCCGTTCCCGGTGAGCGAGTCCAGCGGCGCTCCGCAGGCTCTGGGAGGGGGGCCGGGCGGGGAGAGTCCTGCCCCGACCTGCCCGTGCCCGGTGCCCGGTACCCGGTGCCGGTACGCAGTGCCCGGTGCCGATGCCCGGTGACAGGCGTCAATGCTCGGTGACGGTGCCCGTCACCCGGTACCAAGTGCCCGGTGCCCGGTGCCGTTGCCCGATACTCGGTACTCGGTGCCGGTGCCCGATACCCGATGCCCGGTGCCCGAAACCCGATACCCGGTGCCGGTGCCCGATACTCGGTGCCGATACCCGATACCCGGTGCCCTGTGCCGGTGACCGATACCCGGTACCCGGTGCCGGTACCCGGTGCCGATACCCGATACCCG